CTCAATTCACTCAGAGTAAAAGCCTAAGTCTTTACTATGACTTACACAGTCCTCCAAATGCCCCCTCTCTGACCACTGCATTGCCCGTCACCCATCCATAACACTCCCAATTCCCCTATACTGTCCTATTTTTTCAATAAGACAATTCCTTTCTAGTTCACTAAATAATTACTTATTTGCTATGTTGAATATTTATTTCCCCCTGCTGGGATAGGATATAAGCTCCCCAGGGCAGGCCTCTTTATTTATTTTATTCACTGTTGTAGCTCAAGCCACTGGTACATAGTAAATGCTCATAAATATTTTTGGGTAAATGAATGAATGACTTAGGAAGTGTGGGTTAGCCAAAGATTGGGGAGAGGATTGGCAGCAGGTAGCAATCTTAAGAAGCAGTTTGATTACTATGGGGAGAAGGAAAATTTTGCTAACTTGTAAAAAGTAAAAAGATTGCCAAGAGACCCTGAGTTTTATAACTCCTTTAAGAGCCTTTTTACTGAATTATTTTAATTGTTAAGTGCACAGTTAGCAGAGCCCTGACCTAGGACTTTGGTAATGGATGATGTTTGGACTCCCAAGAATATTTTTGCACTGGGGAGAGAAAGCTTGGTTCCACAATTTGCATCTCTTCTTAGTTGTGTGAGCTCAATCAAAGTCATTTCATTGGAAAATAATATCCCCTTGGTTGACTTATAAAATTCTTTTGGCTCTCAGATGAGATAACGTTTGGGAAAGCCACCATCATCATTATGATCGTCCCTGTGTGAGAAGTCTTCTGAAGCAAGGCCAACCTCAGGAAACATGGCAGGCAACTCGTCTCACTGGCACCCCTTGCAAGGCAGCTTAATGTCTCTAAGCAGCAAAAACCCATAAGGGGAGAAAGAGTATTTGCTTAGCTCCTTTCAATTCATCGGATTCATTTTAAGTGTCCAGTGAATTCAGATTCACTCCATCCTACCTAAAGACACTTTCCACAACTTGTCCAGTTATAGCATCAGACTAGAAGTCTGGACTCTAACATTAGGTTACTATGAAGCTTCTCTGCAATTGAAGTCCCATGTACTAAAAGCACAAACTCTCTACCTTTGTGTCTCTTGGGATTTACCTTTCCAAGTGTAGACACCCAAACAGGGCACAGAACACCATGAGGCCCACAGTTCACATCTGAAACTTGCCAGCAGCACCCAGCTCTTGCCCAACAGCTTGGGGTCACCTTCTTTCTAAGTCTCCCCCCCAAAAAAGACCCCCACTGTCTGTAGGGGATACCAACCCTACAGTTGATTTTTTCCACTATTTCATTGACCAGAACAAAGAGAGAAAATGAGCCTTTGAATGCTTACGCAAACTAAAAATCCAAAACAAACACAGACACATGGCTTCTTCCTTGTCTTGATACGCCTAGTCCAGTATTCCTAAGCAAGCTTTTTTCCCCTCAGCAGATTCTCCATCGCCTCTTCAGCCTTATACATTGTTTTCGTTCCTATTTAAGATCAGTAATGAGAACTTGGCAGGAGAAAGACTCAAGTGGGTCAGGAGGCCCTTGTGGCTTTTCTCGGGCTTGTTTTCCATAGCCGACTCTAGCCTGCAACATACTTCGCAAGAATAAGTTGGCTGCAGATCTAACCCATGATAGAGGCCGCCACCGAGAGCAACATTTCAGACGAGTGAGACTGCAGCCACGAGCAGGCTTCCTGAAGCATAGAGCCTGGGTGTTTCCTTCCACACGCACATGCACACACACACATGCACATGTAGCAGCACACACTGGGGTCCTCATCCAGAACAGATGTTGCTGCCACGGTGCCAACCATGTGCCATGCATGGCATTTTCTTCTGCTAAGCTTCTAGCAATTGTTTTGCCTTTCTTCTCCCCTCCTTCAGACTCCCACCCCTGTGGGAGTCTGCATGGACAAATCCACTCCTGATTCATACTGGGCCAGACTCATATTTTTGTTGTTGTTGTTGTTATTGCAAACATTAGATACTTCCAAAGTTGGAAAAAAATTGAAAGAAAAGAGAAAAGAAAGAAACCACAACAACCCCCAAAGAAAACATGTTCTAACCCAGGAATGTACAATGCTTCATGCATGGGAAGCATCTTCCCACCTCTCCAAGCTTAACTACAGAATCTAGGGCTCCAAATTCCAACACATGAAAAAGACTGATTCATCCAGCCTTCAAAATCTATAAACTAGCTGCTCCCCCCAATAACTAGGGTTTGCAGAAGTGCCACCACCTTCTTTCCAACTTACTCCATGTCTGCCAAACTATGATCACTTCTTCAAGTCCATTTATTCCTTTCTTTGCCTAAAATAGTAGTTGTAAGTGCTTACGGTGTGTCAAGATTACAAAAAGAAATCGGTCCCCAACACAGTATGTACAACAAAGCTCCAAAATCAAATTGCTACCCAATGAGGAATTGTACAGTGATATGAACAAAGTTTCATGGGAGCACAGAGAATAAAACAAATATCTTGCCCCAGTCATGTGAAGACCTTACAGAGGAGCAACCACTTGAAGTGAATTTTGCAGGATAAATAGGAACAGATGGAGAGGGAAGGATATGAAAGGAGACACACAATGTGGTCAGTAAGGTTTTCTATACTAAAGCTACCTAAGAAATAAGCCAAATATATCATTGTCTTTTAATAACTAAATTTATATTTGACTCCTGCATCTTCAGGTTGGGCCCAGGCATACTCCATGTACTTCTTAGTTGGGAACCCAGATTTCAGGGTCAGCAGCTATCCAGGTATGTTCACATGGTGGATAGCAAGCATACAAGAGGGCCAGCTAATACAAGAGGGAAATGATCACTTCTATGATCCTTCTTACAAGAGGAAATGCATGACAGTGCTTTCAAGGCCATTGGACAAATAAAGCCTATGTTACATACACTCATGTCCCATTGGGAAAGCAAACCACAAAGTTAGGACCAAAGTTAGTAGAAAGGGAATCATATCCTGCCAAAAGTAAAATCATGACAAAGAAAGGAGAATAAAAGGAATTATGGGCATCTACTAATATCTGCTAGTCAGCTCTCTTAGTCACAAATATATGTTACATTCAAATTCACTCCACTTTTCCCCCAAGACACTCTAAAAATCTTATCTGATCATAGCATCAGACTTGAATAATCTCATGAAGTCTAGAATAATCTCATGATTTTCTTCAAGTCACTATACATCATCTGGAGCCCCATATCCTAAAATTTCAATCTCTTTACCTTGCACACACACATCCCATAGACAAAGAAATAAGATAACCACAATGAACATCCCCTTTCAAGAAAAATGATAAGAGCCATGTAAATGTCACTGGTCTACAACAATTCTGAAATCCCTCTGAGAAAAACTGTAAAATTCCCTCCCCTGAGAATAGGAAATGCTTCTCATTCAATAGCTTTGATTACTTCCTCTGTATAGCTCCCAAATGTAGTCTTCAGTATTGCTCTTGGTGCTATTCTTTTGAAAGTTCATCCTTTTCATCCTTATCATCCAATGGTCACAGAAGGTGGGCATTGGAGACCACCCTGGCCCCTCGCTTATTCTCCTGGTAGAATATAGGGAACCCAAAAATCTTTATATTCTTTCTAACAGTCAGTCTCTATTAATCTAAGCTATGGCACTTTGGCAATTCAGCTTCCACAAACTTTACCGGTTTTATATAATTAAATTTTGGTCAAATTCATATGCCAAGAACTATCCTCACAAGTCTTTTCAAGGCATGACTATAGACTTAATTCTAGGTATTCCCAGCTTATGAGGCTCCTCTGGGACAAAATCCTTCATCTCTTTTCAGTGTGGGTTTTTTTGTGTTTCTCTTCGGTTGTTGTTCAGTTTCAAGGATCTTCTAGATGCCACTTTAATTCAATGAAAAGTCTTAACAAATGGTATAATGGTCCACCCCTTGAGTTGTTCTTATCTGAGATCATCTTAACTTCAGCCTTAGAAATCTTTTCAACACACAGCATTACTCAGTTTTATCTTTTACTACTTGAAGATAAGAAATGGCCTTGTTTTTCAGTACTACAAGTTCTGAAATTTCTAGTATTCCATATTCTCAGTCAATCTGCTAGCCAACTAGTGACTTTTTCTGAGTTCACCTCTTCTTGCAGTACCTTATTGAATGAAGGTAGTGACCACTAGAACTTGTAATATTCTTAAGACCTCTTTATCCAAAGCTAATAGGCTTTAAGTAAAATTTCTGACATACAAGTTATAACAGTTAACAATGTAACTTCCCTCATAACTACAGGAAACATTTAATTGAGTGTTTTGTGGTTAGATAATGTTTTGTTTCATTTTTTACCCCAATTTCTTAAAAAAGTTCCTTTACATCCTGATGTGCCAGTCCAGAGCTATGGCTGTGCCCACTTTTGATACTAATCTCTCTATTAGTCAAGTATTACCGCAGTAATGCCTTAAAGAAGCAACCCCCAAATATAATTAGTGGGTCACAGAAAATATTGCTAGTCTGCTCATTAAGGTAGTCCTAAAGTACATGAAAGGATGTAAAATGCTTCGAGGTTAGAGAACTAAGCTAGGGGTAGATCACACAGGCTTTTGGATGGATGCCAGACTAAGGAATTTGGACTTCACCCTGTGTTCAATGTTCATTCAGTGAAGGCTTATAAGTAGAAGATGAATTAATCAGGATAGACTGTGATCACAAATTAACCTTGAAATCCCAGTTATTTAGTAAGACTAAAGGCTTATTTCTCACTCACTTTGAGTCTGGTGAAACTCTCTGGAGCATCTACCCATCTTTTTCAACTTATCCCTGTCTTCTCAAAATGTGGTCCCCATGGCTGACTCCAAAGAGGCAGAGAAGAAATATAGGCAGAGGCCAGTAATGCTTGAGTCCCTTCAGTGAGAATTAATATGCCATTATTGCTTCCAAATTGCTAGACTATAATCACATGGCATCAAGCCTACCTCAGGCGAGCCAGGGACACATAAGGGAACACACATATATCAGGTGAGCACACAGATGTGTCATGTGTGCTTTGGCAGCACATATACTGAAATTGGAATGACACAGAGATTAGCGTCACCCCTGTGGATTAGGATAACACACAAATTTGTCAGGCATTCCATATTTTTAGAAACAAAACAAAAAACAGACAAAACTGAAACAAACCAACCCTAGAAATCTGACTATAGAATTGAGGTTACCAGAGGGGGAGGGCAGGGGTGGGTTACAAAGAGGGGAGGAGGTTCAATGGACTATGGTGGGAGACTATGGGTGCCTGGTGGTGGGTGTGGTGTAAACATACCTCTGCACCAATTACAGTGTTGTAAACCAATGTTACCTCAATCAAAATAAAACTATCTCTGTCACAGGGGAAGATGATAGGGTTTGTATTTTAGGAAAAAAAGCCATAGTGAGAAATTTTGACCATGAAAGTTAGAACCTTATTCTTTCTTGCCTGAACTAAAGTGACTAATGAACTGAATAAGTGGAAAGAGAAGGGAGAAAAGAGACATTATAAAACCTATTTCTGCAGTAAAAAGGTGATCATTGGATGTTGGATGTGATGATGAGAGGGATAAAAGATGGACTTCACTGGGTGGGAGAGAGGGGGATAGTAGATGATGAGACCATGGACTTGTCTCTCGCATGAGTATCTATTTATTCTGAGATAAGCTCAGTCAACGATTTGTGAACACATATTGCTTGAATGTATACTCTGGGGAACAAAGAAAAGCCCTGGTTCCTGCCTCTGCAGCTGGAGGTGTATGCTATTCTTAAGTGCTTGTGTGGGGGGACCTATTTGGAATGTCCACTTAGACAGCCTTGCCAAGGGCAGGGCCATGTTTGATTTTTCTTGATTTATACCCTCCCCCATTACATGCACATATACCCATTGAGTACAATATTAAACATTCTGTAAACAGTCAGTGAATATCCACATTTGACTAAGTGATGCTCATTTTATTCTCTTCTGTGGCAGATTCTTATATGTATTACTTGGTAAATTCTTTATGCATCAAATATGGAATATTGGGAATTTGAGCTAGAATTAGTACATTATCTTTATATTTATCTTTTAATTAGAGAAACCGAGTAGGAAATTGACTGTACAGTATCTAGATATGAAAGATTCTGAACAAATGGAGATGAAATCTGCTCCCCAGTGTCCTCTCCCTTGTGTGCTGGTTTGGAAGTTTAAAAGTGCAAGTTTAATTTTCACCTCTATTGCTCATTCCCCAAGTGACCTTGGGGCATGGCCCTTTGTCTCATTTTCCTCATCAGTGGAATATGGATAATCATATTAATCTGCCTCGCCAGGCGATATGAGGACTAATTAAAAATGAGATTAGATTCAACAGAAGTCTTTCTAATGTGAGAAATATTAAACTTGGTGGTGCATGTCTGCAGAGCTGTCAGATTTCTGGGAATAGTCTCTGGCCTTGGCACTACTTGCAACCCCAATGGCACTGGGGCTCAGAGTCCACAGACCGCCCTGCTTGTTGGCCATATTGTGTCTTTCCTATTTTCATGCTCTGTGTGCCCAATCCAAGGGCCAGACCCCCCAAAACTGCCCATTAACTGAATAGCAGCAGCCAGTGATAGTTCCACCTCTTTAAACTCCTTCGGAAAGGTGCTTCCTCCCTGTGTCCCTTCATGCTTCTTCTTTCCAGATAGAATCTCTGAAGGTTTGGGGTCTTGATAAATCAGTAAAACAGCTGAATTGATAAACTTACTAAATATTGCATGTATGTTAGATGGACTGCTATAACTAAAGACCACTGACTGAGTAACTTAAACGACATTTAATTTCACAGTTCCAGAAGATGGAAATTACCACATCTAGGTGCTTAGAGATTTAACATCTCAATTTCTCAGTCAAGGCTCTCTTACTGTAGAGAGAGAGAGAGAAAGAGAGATAGGGAAAAAGGAAGAGAGGGAGAGAGAGTGGGAGAGAGAGAGAGAGAGAATGTTCAGCTTGCTCAGCTCTCTGCTATCTCTTTTCTAAAGGCACTAATCCCATCATGGGGTCCCCACCTTCATGACCTCATCTGAGTACAATTACCTCCCCAAGACCCCAACATTTTGGGGGTTGGGGCTTCCACCTGTGTGTTTTGGAGAACACAAATGGTTCCACAGTAGCATGTGTTTTGCTCATGTTCACTTCACCTGGGCCGAAAACATCCTGCCACATAGAGTAGGTTTCCCAATTTGTCTACTAGGCAGTTGCCTCCACTAGGTGTGGTGCGTGCTCCTATTTCTTCTCCAAATATAAAGTCATTTTTTGCCTTAAGATTTTATCTTTTATTTAGTTTCAAATATACATTAGCCATTGACACCTTAGTATATCAGCTGCTTTCCAGAGAACAAGGAGAATATGCAATACCATAGAAGGGATGGAGATTTTGGTTATGGGGTTTGTCAGGAAGCAGAGAGTCCAGAATGGAGGTGAGGGTGGAAACAAAATGAGAACAGGGACTGAAGACAAGTGGACATAGCATTAATACTCTACCTCAAATATCAACAATAAGACAGAAGAGAGATGAGTAGGTTTTTCAGATGTATTTTGCCTGCCTTGAATACACATTGGATACATTCATTCTGTCCCCACAGTTGAACAAGGTAAATGGTAATAAGATCCCTGGGAATATTTGTTATAATTAAGAGAGGAAGAATGAACTGGTTATCCAGCATTCAGTAGATCTGGAAGAGCTACTCTCCATTTCACAGAAAACCATCACTACATAGAATATCTAAGCTCAGGATATCCAACATATATGCACAATTAATTTATTTAAAGTTTTCAAAGAGTGAGTGACAAAGTTATACCAGAAAATAATATACAGACATTGGAAAAGTAAATAGTATTGCAATTGTGGAATCAATTGCATGAGTATTATTGAATAAGAATTCATTAAGAATTGCACTTAGGGGCATCCCTGGTGGCTCAAGGGGATAAGACACAGCACTATGAAGCTGCCTACAGACACTGCAGCACGAGTTCACCACCATCCAGGGTGGTAACTCACATGGCACAGCAGACCTCTCCTGTCTTAACCACTCTTCCCCTCAGAAGTGTATTTCAGTGGATCTACCTATTCTGCTCCCCACTCTGTCTCTGGCCTGTCTTTGGCCACTCTTAATCTCTGGCCTGCACCCCAGCTCTTATATGCATAAATAAATAAATCTTTAAAAAAAATGCACTTAGGAAGCAACCAGAAATGGCACCTGGTCACATGGTACACTTAATAACATTATTGAGTCTTTATTGAAGATCAGATGAACACTAAGGAATTATTCCTTTTTTACTGACAGGAAAACTGAGGGGCCGAGAATGTGGTTTATATTCCAAAGACATAGAGTTAGCAACTGTGGGACTAATAAATGAACCCATGTGGTCTGAGTCCAGAGTCCTTGCTCTTAAACTGGTAGGAAGATAAAGAAACACATAAACTAGAAATGTGGGACTTTTAGAAAACTCAACTGAGAGAGTTGGGTGCTGATCACAGATTGGGACACCTCCTCGGGCTTTATGTTTCAAACCCGGGCGAGAGGAGGAAGAGGAGGCATCCCAGTGAACCCTGCTCAGCAAGGATTGGAGACTAAGGAAATGAGACTGGGGTGCATGTTGTGAAACAGATGCAGTCAATCAGTGGGTGAGTGGATAAGATACACAGACAAGCATCCCGTAGATAAAGGGAATGTAAACAAGACACTTGCACAGAGAATAGGTTCCATATGGGTGAAAGCGAGATTGGATGGACCCACCAATTAATGTAGAACAGAGCAGCCAGGCTGACACCCCAGGATGGCGTGACAGGTTGAGGATGAGAACCACAATAATCAGCCACACAAATTGAGCTGTTCAGAGACACAGGAACTCAAACATTAGACCAGGGCTAAAAGAAACAAGACTATTGGCAAGAAAATATTCTAGAATAAACATGACACCTCCCTCCTGCCATTTCTCAACTCAGCTGGACCTGGCTATTACTGGGGATGATAAAATAGTCATGTCTAAGTTGTGGGGAAAACCTGGCAGAATTGGGCAGCAGGAAAAACAACTGTGCTGGGACCCCCTAGGTCTGTGTTTAGATGGAAAAAGAAAATGTGTCGTGCTTCTCATTGTGAAGCAGGGCATGGTCTGCTGGCTGATCAGATTTATTTCTCATGAATCTGTCCATCAATTTAGTAAGGAATCTTTCTAGCTATTTTTTTCAATGAGAATTTTTTGAGAAATGCACAGCATGATTTGAATAGACCAAATGTCATTTTTGACTATTTGACAAAAACCTTTATTTCATTGGTCTTCCACCCAAATGTACCTATTCAACAAGTGCTGACCATTTCCTTTCGTAATTACTCATCTTTTGGGTTGTTCTATTCCCTGTTACGACAACCAGTTCTGTTCCTCCTGATTCATAGATTCTTGAAATCCATGATTGTGTCCCTCCATTTCTTTCCCACATTCCCCATATCATCCCACATCCAGCTATGGAAGCATGAACTTTTCTCATGTCGTCCTGCTACTGAAACCTTGAGTTGTTCCCTGATATCTTCAGGATAAGGAGTAGATTCCTCTGGATGGAGATTTTGACCTCATTCCAAACTGGGGCCATTAATACCCAAGGCAGAAAACCACAGATACAGCTTTTCTCTTTCCATCAGAAATCTTGGCTTATATTCACCCTCCTGCTGGGATTTTTTCTCCTCACCACACTGCCCAAATCCTATCCATCCTTCAAAGATTAAGTCTAATCCCATAGACTCCAGAAAGCCTTTCTCAAGTGTGCCAGCCCCTTTCCTGCTCTGAACTTGGAGAGCCCATTCCAGCAGTGCCATTACTAACTTTGGGAAGGGAACCTCCGTTGGCCTGTGATTTCTTTCCTATTGTCTCCGATGTTGTTCATTTTCTGTCTTATTTAGTGCTAATGCCTCGGAAGCTGCTTTAAGGCAAAGACTGTGATTCATAGAGTGTATCATGGTGCCTTGTACTTAGAAGATACTCGACATACGGCAGAGTTAGATGTCCCAGGACTCCAGCCACTAACCATGCCTACTTCATAGTCCAGGTTTTGAAGTTAAATATCCTAGATGACTTATTACTCAAGGATTGCTGTGACACTGATTT